TATTCTATGATTCTATGATTCTATGACATCACAATTAAACTAGTCACTGCTGTTTCAATTTAATTATTGGGTTTGAGTCAGAAGAGAAAGGATGAGCTGATCTAACTGCTTGCTGCTGCCAAAACTACCTTTCTTCCTGCACACTTACCCCTACTGTGTGCTGCAATGGCCTTCCTGTGTACAGTCTCTGGTCCTTTTCTGATCTCTCCATTCAGCTTTACAAGCTGGCAAAACAACTCAAGGCTGAGGTAGATAGCATCGGAGTCAACGTGGTTGGAGGGGTTGGATACTGTATCACTGGAAACAGGGCAGATGAGATGGAGGAGCAGGAGAATGCACCTGAGAATGACAAGGTGGATGAGGTTAATGAGGCCCAGGGGAATGAGATGGTCCATTTCACCAGCTGTCAAGTTAGCTCAAAAGAGTGTAGGACAAACCCACTAGAACTCTGCAGTAATATTAAAAGGTCTTGTTCAGTGACTGAAGCCATCCCTGTTTATGCCCTGTGAGGGTGGGCAGAGAGGAGCATGTAGGTTATTACATGGTTCCCATGTGAGATCTGCCTCGATGCCTCCAACACGTGATCTCTCTCTCAAGCTGGTTGTGAACACAAGCTGAGTGGTGCAGAAGGAGTGATGAGCAGTCCAAACTGGTGAAAGAGTGCACCTGGGACATCTCTGCAACACCTGGCCACCGAGTGAAAGTAGTGAGTAACCAGTGAGTGGGAGGGGAGGAGTAGGCTGGATTGTGAGGAGCTGAAGTAACTTCACCCCGCACTGTGTGAGTGGGATGTTGATCCCCATAGGTCCTGTTTGGGGTGCTCAGAGGAAGGCATCCCAGGAGGCTGCCCCTGGCCTGCAAAAGGACAGAAAGTCTCAGAGGGACATGAGGCAGGGGTGAGACTCTTGAGGAGACTCCACCAGATGACGACTGGAGCATTGGTCACTCTGTTAACAGAAGGTGTAACATGCCCTCCTGCCTCTGCTCCCTCTGAGCCACTCTGTGGGGCTGTATCAAAGGTGGTGGCAAAGCCAGTGACCAGCCCTTCTGAGGGAGAAGTGTAAGGCCCACCTTACAGCATGGTCTGATGCATGTGGCAGGGCATGCCCAAAGCTGTGCAATGGGGAAAATAGTGCCTGGATCACTGTGCTCTGTGGAAGTAATACTGAAGAACTGCCCATTCAGTGTGCTAGGCAGGATTCCCAACAGGAAGAATAAGAGCATTTAAGGCTTGCAGTTGAAAACTGTTGTCATGCACCCATGTGAGGCAGCAATGCTGCACATTCATATGAAATTCTGAGCTTTGTCATCCTGAGATCACTCTAGTCTGAAAGCACACCATTCTAGATTAGTCTGTGGGAGGAGTGGGAGAGACATACCATTTGACCTGTTTTTCACTTGGCGTTTCATACTTCGCTAAACTGCATACTCAGATTTACAAATGTCTGTCTTAATTCTCCTTATTCTTGCTGTAGACCTTCAATGAGTTTGAGATTGAACAGCACCAAGAATGTGCCTATGACCACTTAGAAATGTATGATGGGCCCAACAGCAAATCACCCATCCTTGGTCGCTTCTGTGGTAGCAAGAAACCAGACCCTGTGGTGGCTTCTACCAACAAGATGTTCCTCAGGTTTTACTCTGATGCTTCCGTGCAAAGAAAAGGTTTCCAGGCAAAGCACAGCACAGGTAAGTTGGTTGCCTGTCAATACCCCAGTGCAATAAGATGTCATCAAGTCTCGCTGCATTTTTTTACCAGGCAAAACTGGACATGCTTTTCACCCAAATAAGCTTAGCCTGAATTTTAAGTGATTGTATATTGTACTAACCATTTCCCAGATCATTGTTGGCACCATACCATAAATGCCATCTTCCTTATCAGTTCAGAGGTCTCTTGATATCAAATATTCCTGCTCATGTTCTTTTGTTTAAACTGGAGGTGTTTGGTTGAGCAGCAACCCCTTCTGTTCCTCATCAGCTGTCAGAAAAGGGGGTGATGCAACTTAGCCCATGTACTGGCCCAGATCAGAATTTCAGCTACAGGACAAGCACAAAGAACATGTGAAGTCTTCCTTTAAGCAATTGCTTTCTAAAATAATGCTGTTTTCCAGAGTACAATGTAGCAGGAATCCCATCCTGCTAGTTTAAACTGGTCACCTCTTTTCATGCATGTTCAGTACCTAAAGAACCAAGCTCCTGTACTCTACGTGGGTCATTAGATTAATGGGTGACTGGAGAATTCACTGGTTTATGCTAGTTTGGTGCAGTGGTTAATTACCTTCCCTGTTGTACATGCACTTCAGGCTGGAGGTCTTCTCTCCTCATGGCTGGCCCAAAAGTGGCATGGTGAGTGTTTGTTGTGAGGTAAGGCCTTTGAGAGACTGGTTTGTGCCCTTTTCTTCTTCCAGAGTGTGGTGGGCTCTTAAAGGCTGAAGTACAAACTAAGGAGCTATATTCCCATGCTCAGTTTGGGGACAACAACTATCCAGGTCAAACCAACTGTGACTGGGTGATTGTAGCTGAAGATGGCTATGGGGTGGAGCTGTTGTTCCAGATATTTGAGATCGAGGAGGAGGCTGACTGTGGGTATGACTACATGGAAATTTACGATGGTTACGACAGCACTGCACCCCGCCTGGGACGCTTCTGTGGCTCAGGGGTAAGCTGTGGTGGTGGTGATTTCATAGGGATAACTGGGGTTGGTAAGGAAGGATACTCTCATACTTTATTTGGAGAGGAGCAGGTGTCACAAACTGGTGATGAGAATGCCTTGTGTGCCTGGATTTTGCTACAGATCACAGCCATTTTATATGATGCACAGAGCTGGTCTGAAAACCTCGCTGACTGCCTTTCCCTTTTTAGTCCAGGGCCATGTGCAGCAGCATGGGACTGCCACAAAAGTGCTGTGTAAATGTGGGAAACTTCTTCCAAAGGCCAATTTCATCCTCAGTCACTTCCTGCCTGAAGCCACATCACATTGCGGCTGTGCTATGGCAAAGGGTGGAGGGACTTGCAGAGCTGCATGTTGACTCCAGGATGATGTGCTGTCTCTTGAACTGTTACTGTGTCCCTGTTAACAGGACTGAGTCTTTTAGCATAAGTAATGGTGTGTGGTTTTTAAAACCAGCGGATACGACTTCTCTAGGTCTTCAGCAATGAAATGGAGAGGGTTCTTAATGAATTTAGAGAGACAATCAGGGAGCAGGTGTGTGAAAGCATTCCTTGCAGACTGGGGAAATGATCCGGAACATAAAAGATAGCAGCTTGGTGTGAAGAAGTTCAGGGCATCAGGGTAGTAACCTACCTGCCTGCACACTGACAAATGGAGAATGGCTGGGACAGTGTAGATCTCAGAGAGAAGCACAGGGAGGTTAGAGCAGATCATCATAGTGGGGGAAATAACCAGTGTTATCAAGTAAGATAAGTAGCTAAGTTATTTTGCTGCTAATGAACTCTGGGAGAACCTTGGTTGCTGAACAGGTTCCAGTTGGATTGTGTCATTTCCTGAAAAGATAAGGACAAATTAAAGCAAACTCAGAAGACTGGAACAGGAATATCCAGGGAGTCTTGTGGGGAAAAATAGAAAAACAAAAACAAAAACCCACCAAAAAAAGCCACCCCAAAACAAACAAACAAAACACAATCAAAACACAAACAAACAAAACAAAAAACAAACAAACAAAAAGCAAAAAAAAAAAAAAACCACAAAAAAAACCCCACAAAAAAACCATCCCAAATCAAACAGGTGGAAGAACTGGGACTGTAGAGTGGACTCGCATCAGTCTTCAAACAGAAAAGGCAAGCATATAAAGAGCAAGAGAATATGCTCAGGAAGTCAGAGCAGGGCAGGAGGTAGTGAGCATTCAGTCTTTGTGTTTAATGGCCAGTCTGTCTTCACTGTGAGCCTAAACTCTAGCATCATAGTGCAGACAGTTATATAGCCTGCAGATTTGACCACTGTGTCTTCTTTCCTTTTCTGCAGCCCCTGGAAGAAATCTACTCTGCAGGGGATTCCATCATGATTCGATTCCATACAGATGATACCATCAACAAGAAAGGCTTTCATGCCGAATACATAAGTACCAAATTTCAAGATGCATTGCACATGAGAAAGTAGTTTAACTGCTCCTCACAGACATTCTCCATCTGAAGACTGAGACATTTAACTGTGATCTTTGTCTTTTTTTTTTTCTTCCTTTTTTCTTTGAAGCTTCTGTGCACCTGGCCAAATGCAGTGTACAGTATTTTCTGTAGCTAAAACTAAATCCAGTCTCAAAGGTTTGCCTCTGCAATTATTAGCATGACCCTTTCTTGTTAACATACCCAGGACCAAAAATTGTCTTCTCATCATACCTGTCAGGGCATAAACATTGTATTTTGCACAGCTTGCCATGGGGCTGAGTGAAGACTGAGCTTGAATTAAGAAAACCCTTTGTCTCTTGTGTATCCTGTTTCTAGGTGACATTTCCCAAGCATCCTGTACATGTGAACTGTCTCAACATATTTTCTGGAAAAGGTGATGTGGACAGCCACCCAGTAGGAATTTCTCAAAGGAATATGTAAGCCGCCCACTCTCCCCTACCAGTCCAAAATACTCTGTGCAATAAGTGAACAATGAGATGGCTGAAACTCCATCACTGCTTCTGTCCTGTCTATTTATTGTCTTGGTTATTGTGGGTTGAGAGCTAGGTAGTGTCACAGGGACAGTCTCCTTAGGGCTGCTAACTACTTGGATCACAGTGAACGAGAAGGGCCCAGTGCCTGAATTGCAGTAATTGTTATGATATATGTTGAATGGAAGTACTTCGATGCAGAGGCCAAAGGAAAGGTGGTAGCTGACAGGAAAGTGCTGTGGTGGGGTGCAAGGCATGACTCTCTGATGGTGGCAAACTTAATAATTGGAGTGCTGAGCGCATGCTTCAATTACACTACCAAGCAATGCAGCTCAGAGAGCTGTAGCAGCAGTCCAGGCCTTATCTTAAATAAGGAATCTCTCCTGCTTACTCCACCCACATTAGCTTTCTCAGCCTTGTTTATGCTGCTTCCTTTCCTTAGTACCACTTCCCTGGGAGCCCTTCCTTTTCACAGCTAAGCTGCTCTCCCCAAGGCTCCCCACTGCAACGCAGGAGTGCTATTCAACGTCAGCTAGCCAGAGCATCTCACCAGAGGAAATATTGGGCCAGAGGTAGTCATGGTATTCATGAGGCAGAGGGACAGAGGCCATGCTACATGTCAGCTCTGGCGACCTGATGGCACCTGTCAAACATGTGCAAGCTTCAGGCATGGGACTAGGAATGGGAGAGCTGTGCTGGTTTCTGCTTGCTCCCTATTTCTTGCTGGCCCATGGCCCAGTCCCTTAACTCCATGGCAGAGGTGCAAGCAGGATGGTGACTAAAGCACTTTGAGCTGTAAGGCTTAGACATGCTCTGTGTTGCAGTTATGTACATGGAAGCTACTAAGCCATGGGCTTGCAGAATTAACAGGTAGCTTAGCACTTCTTTGGGAAAAAAATAGGGAAAACTGCTTTTGAAGGAACCACTGTAAATTGAACTGTTGATATGGGGGGGGGGAGGAAAGAGAAAAAAAAAGACTTTATTCTGAATGATATTTCATTAAGGCACTCATGGGCAATTCTGAGCTAAAAGCTGAGGTGTGTTAGCTTTAATAAAGTATTTATAATCCTTGGATTACTATGTTTACATAACCAATGTACTGTCAGGCTCCGGGGTGAAACCTCCTCTCTGGTATATGACTATGGAGAAATGTAGGGCCAGCCCTAGTCAGGCACAAACAACATTCCTGGAGATGAGGGCATTTCCAGATGGATAATAAAATAGACCCAGCCCTCTCCAGAAGTCCTTGAACAGAATATGGTCCAAGTAGATTAGATATAAGGAAGAAGTTCTTTACAGTGAGGGTGGTGAGGCACTGGAATGGGTTGCCCAAGGAAGTTGTGAATGCTCCAACCCTGGAGGTGTTCAAGGCCAGGCTGGACAGAGCCTTGGGCGACATAGTTTAGTGTGTGGTGTCCCTGCTCATGGCAGGGGGGTTGGAACTAGATGATCTTAAGGTCCTTTCCAACTCTAACTATTCTATGATTCTATGATTCTATTGTGAATACTAGGAGAAGCAAATGCATGAAAATATTTTCTTGCTTAGAACAAGAAAAATGAAATAATTTATACACACACACACACAAGAATATATGTATATAAAATGTGCATGTAGAAGACCAGTAGTCAAAGCCTTAATAAGTGTCATGTGAACAATACTGTACCATCGACTATAGCTTTATTGCAGGCTGTATAAAGCCATGTTTTGTTTTTTAGCTCTGTTTTGTTCCTCTTTTCAAATGTTGTGGCCTTTTTACAGGCAAGACCTCTGATCTCAAGCTATTTGACCATGCAGGTCTGGGGAATTGAGCTCTGCTAGATGGGGTCTGCATTTGTCCTTCTCTTCCTTGCCCCTGTTCAAGCAAAACCACAGTGACTTGGGTCTGGAAATAAAAGCATGACGCTGATCCATGTGAATGAGAGGGAAGTTTCAGGTGGTAAGCAGTGGTTCAAGTTTCCTGGCTCCCTAATGGGAGCAATGACTCCGGAGAGAAGTGACTGTAGCAGCTTCCCATGTACTTTATTTAACATCTTTGTTCCATGTTCTTGTAATTTCCCATCTTTCCCAGACTGGTTCATTGCAGATGCTTGCAATGTTGTTTGACAGATGTATTATGCTTATTGGCATTCATGCAGGTGTCTCTTGTGACAATGTGCTTGCAAATGTTGTACTGTGCATTTCAACCAATGATCTATGTAGAATGTTTCTGCTGTACTGACTGGGATTAACAGTCAATAATTCTAAATGTCTGAAAGTTTCTTAGGAAAAAAAAGAAAAAAATGTCAGTCCCTCTAATGTGTGTATATGTACTCTGGTCTTTGTGTGATTTTACATTTCACTAATTAAAATAATGTTTTAAGAGGGGGAGGAAAGGAGGGTATGGGGGCAATTGCAAATGTACCCGTGCCCAGGATGAGTCTGCGTTCATTAAAGACTGTGGATTTTGTTGCATGTTCTGTTGTATGCATGCATTTACTACTTCCTCAAGGGGAGGAAATTTCTTAATACATTCCTTGTTCTGCCAACTGTTGCTTGTTGCTAATACCAGGTGGGATTTACCCTCTGCAGGAAGCAACTTTCCCTTGAGCCTTTAATTTTGTCTTGGCCTGTGCAGTCAAGAGAGAATTTATGAAGTGGGGCAAAGGAACAAGTTGATCAGCCAAAGGGCTACATTGCTGTTGCAAGTTCTGTGATTGTGCTTTTTTAGGCTGAGATGCAGATCTGCAGCAATAAACAACAGGGATCTGGGAATTAGTCCATAAGTAGACCTTAAAAGAGGAGGCTCATTTACCACACTACAGGGGATGGCCTTCAGTAGAAGGTCCCAGAGAGCCCAGGACATGAAACTCCTGTGCAAAGGACAGCAGGATGACCACAAGGTAGATGTTACGACAAAGCTGTGGTCTGTACTCTCACTGTAGTAGCAAACTGTTCAATAGCTAGGCAGCACCTAGCATGCTTTTCTTCGTCTTTCTATCCTCTGCTTGATGTCTGTCCTGCTGGCTAAGGATTATATCTGTGTTCTTTCCCCAGTACATGCATTTCCCACCACCCAAAATACTTCCTGTGATGTGTCACAGCCACTCAAGCCTTCATAGTGACTGAATTTCCTCTCAGCTGTTCCCAAAGGCAAAGCAGCAACAGAAATGAAGTAAGGAATAAGCATCCCCATGTAGCCTCCTGTGCCAGAGTATCATGGCACAGAATGAGCCTGGAGGCTGCAGTCAAGTCATTATGGTGGACAAGTCAAGTCCAAGACAAGACAAGCATGGTGCAGTCAAGAAATTATGGTGAACATAATTTCCAAAGTGAGGACGAGCAGCCTTCAGCTGCACAGAGAGTTACAGTCCAAACCAATGCTGTAACATTAGAAATGATGCAGCTCAAGTGAAGCTGGTGGGAAACAGGAAGTAAAATAGAAGGTGGAATACGAACTGGAGTCACATCTATTAGAGAAACAGAGACATTTGCAATTGCAGTGACAGGTTCTTACTGTGTGCACAATCTATCTGTTGTATGTGTAAAGATCTTTTGCAGGCTTATATCTTCCTTGCTGTTCAACTGTCATGTTCCATTCATGTCTCTTTCCACACTGGTTGCCTGCCATCATTGTGTGACATGGCTGGTCCTCATTTTCTCTGCTTACGTTTAGAAACAGGACTTAATTTTTCAGAAAGCACCCAAGGACCATCCAGTGTGAATTGCTGAAGGGAATATCCATTGTCTGCCAGAAGATTCTTTGTACTTTAAAAACACGAGTACCCACTGGTATGGTTCACTTCAAAGAAAGAATGATGCCTCAGATGGGACAGGCTCTTTGTCTCAGCATCTAGCCAGTGGAAATATTCACTTTGTCCTGGGATTTCCAGCAAACGTGCTCTGGCAGATGAGGTGCTAACCTTAGAAAGCAAAGCAGGATTCCTGTGCAGCTCATCTGTGGCAGATACTAAACATGCTCTGGGAGCCAGGAATGATTTTATTTGCTGTGGGGCTGGCAGAGGAGAGGCGGAGTCCCCGCGCCCTGAAGCTCAGTTTCCCAGGAGCGTGCCAGACCCAGCCCCTGTCAGGGACATAGTTTTACCAGGTGTGCTGGGACCCAGCCAGGTTGTCTGAGTCAGCCCAAGAGAAATGCCACTGCCTCTTCCTCTTTGCAGGTCTGCCGTTCAGTTTTTAGCAGGAAGAGAAAGTCATCCTAAAAGGAACACTAACCGTGGCGTTGGGCAGTTTGCTATTTAACACGTCCAGGGATTTCTCAAGAAGAGTGAAATGGTGAGTGGGACTTGTCCTGTTGAGTTGGTTGGGTCTTGTTTGAATGGCAGTATTGGTGGGGAGGTCAGAGTGCAGGAGAGGTGAGGCCACCAAACAGTTAATCTAATATGTTGGATGAATAGCTCCTTGGGAGTGTTTCACCTTCCCTGTTCTCTGCCCTGATCAGATCAATGAAGATGGCCCCTTCATTAGCTCTGCATTTATGTATAGTGCGACTAATGGTTTCAGACACCT